TCAGTAAATTAGAAACAGGCCTATTGTCTCCAATTCCTTGACTAATTTATTGAAGCTTGAAGATTTACCAGTTTATGTGTGACAGGTTTAATGGGTGGGAAAAAATTGGTCAAGTTATATGGGTACATGTAAAACGGAAACTGTGGTAAATTTCCTAGCTTCAATATATTAATGAAGAAACATTAGCTGGTTCCCAATGTAATACAATTTTAGTAACGATTTTAGGTACAGTCTTTCCGATCTCAATTCAAGAACCAAGAGGTTGGCAGTATGTACCAGGTTCGGTCGACAACTCAGCATTGAAATATTTGAAAAACTTGTTCCCATATTTATTGAGCCATACCCATATACAGGTCTGGTCGCCCAGTTGAAGAATGAGCGAGCGGGCAAACGCGGCACAAACACAGCCGCACTGGACGAGCTGACCATAAATTCAGTTGTCAACAAATGGCCTAGCAGTGCAGTGCAGCAATGCGGAATTTGGTGTGATTCAAGTAATTTTAATTTATTATAGGCACCTTCTATTAATCATTCATTGCGAAAGGGAGAAATAAGAGGGATATTTTATTATTACAACATGGCATTTTGGAGACCTTTTGAAATGGAACAAAACGAATTTTACCATCAATATAATAAAACTATTTGAGGACATAAATAATTAAAATATGTTGTTGGCCAAATGAACATATTATAGAAATTTTCTACACATTATATACAAATCATTATAATTTTTTACTTTTAGCAGAAAACTTTTTTAGGTACGCCTATGAAATTAATTAAATTTTGTTGCTAGGCGTTTTTATACATGTTCAACTGACTTCGGAAAGACTATACATTCAGAAACTTTTGTGTAGTTGGACTGGACCAATAAATTGGCGAATTTATTGTTACAAGTAAAACGGTGCCGCAAACGTACGGAGTTGTGACGGTGTAAAAACTTGTTTCAAAAACATCTGTGCCCACCTGTATATCTCCCCTTCGGTGTTACGCACTAAAAATTACCAAGACACGAACATATGAAACTGCAACTTTGTAGGAAGTATATTTTGTATTTTTCTTTCCAGATCCTGATTTCTTCGCGTTACTCTTTACAGTGCTTAGTGGTTGAATGATCACTCGATCTAAATCCACCAAAAAAAGTTCCCGCTTTCTCTAAATGCTCAAAGCTGAAATCAATTCTTAGCTGATTTGTGTAAACAATAAAATGAAAGTAGAAATATGTTACAGATTGCGAAAACTAAAACAAAAACAACCCGTGATGTGAAAATATGAAAACATTTTTAATCCTACTCGCAAACTTTAAGTGGATTTAAATGCTTCGCCAAATAAACTATATTTTGGCGTTAAAGATGTTCTAACTTAACAAATGCGGAGGCATTGTTTTACAGACAAATTAGGTAGTTAAAATAGACTTAGTTCATCACGATATGAGTCAGTTTTAAATTTAGTTTCCTCATAAAGAACATAAATAATGAACAAAGCAAGCTGGGACTTGTATACTGGATGTATTGGCTATTTTTTGTAAATATAGAAAATAAACAATAGCGAGAGTTAATAAAGTAATAAAGCGATTCCCGGAATTTTAATTAGCTGTGTATTAGAATAAATAGACGCTAATACCGAATCACGTTTTGAATTTTAATATTTAAACGACTAGAATCCATAATTAATTCCGTAATCAAAAGATCAACGATCATAAATGTATACACGTCCTTTAAGCTTTATTACATTAATTACAATTTACGACGTGTTTATATACTTTTAGGAAACATAAATGATTATAGAAATTAACTTTTAAGGTGGAATAAAATGCACTCACTGTACATCACGAAAAAAAGTTCGTATTACGTCAATAACAAATACGTGTAGCATTTATCAGGCAATATCGACAGTCCTTGAAAAATTTATTACATGATAAGCTTACGTCATGCAAACATTATTTTTATTTAACGATTTTTGTTCATACACTGAAGCCGTATATTATTTATAGGGCGTAGACATATAACAGCTCATGATTTATGATAAATTCCTATCAATAATCCACAGGATATATTTATAGAACGCATTTTTTGGCTTTAATTCCCTCAACACGGACGGTTGACCAAAACATGAAATTATTGAGTAAATTGGTAGAAAGACATTTATGCAGAAAACCGGTTAATTTATTCGAACCGCTAGTTAAATTGATTCCTCACAATGACAAATAGCTTACACGCTGATTATAGTCTTTCCGATTTCAATTGAAGAACCAAAAGGATGGCAGTATGTTCGGTAGCTGACGGAGCAACTCGGCATTGAAATATTTGAAAAACTTGTTCCCACATTTATTTAGCCATACCCATACACAGGTCTGGTCGAACTAAACGTGGACGTGGTAGAAATGTATACGCCCAATTGAAGAAACGGCGTACACAGAGAGCCGAACTGGGCAACAGGGCAATAAATCACAGCTGTTGACAAGTGGCTGACAAATTGCGTAGCAGTGCAGTGCAGCAATGTGGAATTTGTAGTGATTCAGATAATTTTAATTTACTATAGGCACCTTTTATTAATCATCATAATATTTTTTTTAGTAATATTATTACAACATGGCATTTTGGAGACCTTTTGAAACGGAACAAAACGAAATTTACCATCAATATAATAAAATTGTTTGAGGACACAATGTTGTTGGCCAAATGAACATATAATAGCAATTTTCTACACATTATATACAATTATAATTGTTTACCTTTAACAGAAAACTTTTTTAGGGACGCCTATGAAACTCATTAAATTTTATTGCTAGACGTTTTTATACATGTTCAACTGACTTCGGAAAGGCTAAAACTAAAAACAGTTTTGTTAATTCATATACATATTATCTACGCAATTGACGTTCCAAAAGATGTTTTTTTATTTTCATATTATTTTAGTTAAAAGAATACGTAGTATATTATTTTGACATAAAGTGTCAAACGTGACAGTTTATAATTTATTTATTTATCTACTATCATAGAAAGATGAGATATCTAGTATTTATTAATCTACTTAGTACTTATGTCACCTCTAAGGATTCTGAACCAGCATTGATCAAAATTATAAGAGAAAATTAGACATATTTATCTTCATTACAAAAAATAATAATAATAATAAAATACTTTAACGTTCTTCTTTTTGTATTTAATTTTAGACTATATACGTAATTTCAAGTAAACGTTGGAAATTGTTCCTTCATTGCAATATCTGCTCTCCAAAAGTACTTTTCAATTGTACCTTCTGAAATATTTCAAATTGGGCAAAAGCCAAAATTATATATCGCGTTTCGAAAAGAATTCAACAATCTTTCTAAAAGCTAACCACGGAGCAGAAATCCCGCCAAAATTATCAGAACTATAAATAAACAGCTGCAAACTACATTCTACGAGAACCAGAAGGCGCATAGTGGGAAAATACATATTCACCCAAGTTCCGAAAATTTCCAGAAATACCCCTAACGAAGCCACAATTATTACTGTCACAAGTCATCAGCCGTATAAGACGATACTGACAGTACATGCGACGACGAAATCGCCCCCGACAGCGCAAAAAAGCGCGAAAATATTCATCGCCCTTTCGAATATTTGTAAAACATAAATCCAAATATTTCGAAATTTGAACTATAATACGGCCTTAGGGTCGTCATTAATCAAAATAAGTTTCAGCTCAACAACTCCTGCGAGACGCCCACAATCAGTAGAAGGACATCATTCCGAAATGCCAATTTCCAGGTTCCACCGTGGACCTCGCTACGGGTCCCCCTACGGAGTCAGCGTAGAGCGTGTTCGAACGTCCACCCAGACCGCTTGCAGTGCCGGATCTTAGCCAATACTAATTATTTCAAGTTTTTTTCTTATATAAAATGTTACATACCATTTAATGTTAATTAATACAAAAATTGTAATAAACTACGTATAACAACTCCTAAAAATTTTCTCAAGCTCACAACTTCCAAAGCTTACGTAGCACAACCATCCAGGCTTAGTCCATCCTGAGGTGAAGTGATACAAGCTCCTAAAGCCCTGTAAGGACCCATTATAAGCTTTAGCCTTACAATTCTTGTAGTAAGCTCTCTAAGGAGGCCATACACGTAAACGCAAGCTCCTAAAGCTTCCACACAACCTCCTAAAGGTTCCATTGGGGCACCCTAAGGGGGCCATACACCCACAAACTTTAGTGTCCTAGTCCAGCATTAAAAAACAACGAGAACACAAATGCCCAGTGAAAAAGAAGGTTAAGCCGAAAACCTCCCATAAACAGGAAACACAAAACCCAAACCAAAGCATATCGCAGTGTAAGTACGTCTTTAGGTAAAAATAGAGTGTGGACCATTATCCTAAGACCCAGTAATCTTGTCATCAATGGAGGAAGAGCGACAGATCGCTCGATTCGACATATATGCCAGGGGATAATGCAATCGATCAAAATCCACGACTTGACAACTTATTCTTGATAAAAATTGATAAAAAATAAAACACCTGTTTTTCCATAGTACATATTTCGATATCAAAAAAGTGGAAAAGCCGATACACAATTCCAAGATGGGCAATTTACGATAATAATTTTTTTTTTCACATTACTTTTCAAATAAAGAAAAACTGTAAAATTATGCGACTCGCACAATTTTCCAGTGGTGCAAACTTGAATCGGTCATATTTGAAAAATCAGGTCAGAAAATTAATTTGCGTTTGTACGAAAAATGAAATTTCCACTTGAAATGCTACACTGAACAATTTGGAACACATCAACTGTAGCCCAAATTACGTTTCATTAAATTATTCGAATTAACCTAATTATTATAAGCTTTGCTGTAACAAGTGCGCTCATTATTAAATTCACACAAACGAAAACCTATAATTAATCGCTTGTATCACTCTGAACTGACGTCAATAAATAAAAAAATTATTACAATAATGTAGGGGACACGTCTACGCACAACCGACAAATATATTAAAAAATTTACATAAAAAATTGTTACTTACATTTAATTCTAAAGCTTTTGTTTCAATTTCAGTCTTGGTATATTTGGCTCTAAAGTCCAGAGGTTGAAGACAAGATTCCATTATTTTGAACCACTTTCGTAGACATTTGAGCTCATGGTCAATGTCTGAAATTAACAAAATAATCATTACACCCACTTAGTAAAAAAACACATATTCATAACAGTGGGAAGACGGCATTGAAGCTGTTACTTTCATAGTTCATAATTTTAAAAAACAAGAATCATAATCAATAAATTAATAGCTTCAATGTCTCACTTAACAAATATTTTTTGAGAACAAACTAAATAAATCCATCTTTCCAAGCAAATGGAATGAAAACTGTTGGGTTTGTATATGTCAAATAAATAAATAATTTGATCCATTTTTTTAAAGAATTACTGTAAATAATGATCGAAATTTTTGGTACCAACTACTAGTAAAGTATTCACGAAGCTACGCCCGAGTAATATCAGGATTTGAGTACTAATTTCCGTTTTTTATTTATTTAATCGAAAACCAAAAGGAGTTTTAAATTCAGGAGGGAAAACGAAACTGTTGTTTTTGTTATGGGCGCCGTACTAGATGAGCACCCGCTATAAAATAAATAAATATAATGGTAAATAATAAAATTACAAAATTGTGTAACACATTATGAGATATTCAAGGTAAATGACAATTTCCTAAAAAAAAAACACGGACAGATTTTATTATATAACAGCTAGGCCATTATTTTCCCTATACCGACAATTTTTGAGACCAGAAAACATTATTAACACTTTATAAAGCATACGAATTCGTTGAAATGTTGTTCAAAGCAATTTGGCCGTTTTTAAAAAGCCTAGTTATAAAAAATTTTAATGAAGATATTGACCCGAACTAGCAGGTTATTTACACTCGACGAAAAATAAACTGAGATTTGGCACATGCAATAAAAGCACACGTAAAAATTGCGTTAAATCCATTCATCACTCCATTATTTTTGCATTAGGCCCGTGATAATAATTTAAATTTAATATCCATGACTATTTTCATCAAACCATAAAAATTGTTTCTGTATATTCTAAACGCAGATAAATTTCAATGAAACAATTCGTAAAAATTAAATAATTTGTGTAACTTTTCTAAAACACTGTTCCTGTAATAATTTTTAGAGACCGACGTGAAAATAATTCAAATACGTCGGTGATTTTATAAATTGTACGGTCACTGTTAATTTTGAAATAACCTTGGTTTACAAATAAATAACAATGTTTCTAGGCTTTGTTGAAAATAACTTTATGTAACACTTCCTATTGCATCTGGCAAAGTAATTGTAAACATAAATTTCAAGCAGATACCAAATTTAAACATTCACGCATACAGAGATTGGAAATTATTTTCTTCTATCTGGCGTACATTGAAGCTTTTATGTGTTTACTCAGGAGTACTATTATCGACAATCTTTTCAAGCATAGGTACTTAGGACTGTATCGGAAACATAATTGAGGAAAAAATAACAATTTTTATGAATGTTTGCAGTGATAATTATGAATGGAAATGCGTCGCGAAAAGTACATAAAACTGATTCCAAGTTAAACAGAATCCGCTTTTTTGCACAATTATCTTAGCTATCACGTAGGCTAATGATCTCAACAAACATCTCCATTTTGTCACGTAAAACCAAGAGGATTCGTTGCCCCTTATATTAGATCACCGCATATACACCTTACTGTCTTCTGGGTTGCAGATTTAGCTTTAGAACTTTACTTCTACACACCATACCTAGCAGTCTTGCGGGTTGCCTACACTACAGACACATCGCGATTATGCGGACGTAACTTCCGTAATAAGTGACTTAATAAATTACGTAATTAAATTATTTCTATGTTCTAGTCATTATCATAGCTGTTTGATATAATATAAATAAACGGCCATAATCAAATTCTTAAAATAAACCATCAGCATAACTCATTTTAATTGCTGCTAGCAGATGTTAGAAATTATCATCGCTAGCTTACTGATTACGTGTTGATGATTGATTCTGATGAGCTTTTCTGAATTTACCTGTAAAATAGTATTTTCTGTATATCTTCGTCGATTTTGTTTTTTAAATACAGATTACAGAGCCTTCACAAATGATTACAAGCCACTTCATATTGGCAATTAAATTTTGGTAAAATTATAAATTATTAAAACAATAAGACCAATATTATATTAGAACATAACATTCTGTTTCACAGTCTCTGATTGGTGTAATTTTTTACGAGAGTCTATCAGCGATTATCTGAAGCGTAGATGTAATTGTTTGTCATTGTTCATTGTAAACGAATTGTTAATAATAGTGACACCAACAAAATAAAAAACCTACATCAGGATGGGCCTAGGGGTATGATTGCAAGTCCATCCCCCAACCCCCCTACCCCCCCAAACTATAGCCCGAGAACAACAAGGGCATGTTGGAGATTCCTAATTAAGAAAGTACATCATAAATTTGTAACAGGCAGCAACTTGGTTACGTTGCCATTTAAGATCTATTAAATAGTTTTTTTGGCTTAAACGCCTTGTTCAATGTATAGAAGTACAATTACGCTTTCTCTATGCAAGCCAGCATTCCGAGCGACTGTTTTAGTAGTACATTCAAAACTTAAAGCAAAAATTGTTTTTTGGATCATTGAACAGCTAAGAACGGTTCTCATTACCGTTACATTTCAATGCTTTGAATATGATGAAATATTTGATTAAAATTCTGAACGCATTTTTCACCTACACCCCTAAATGTATGCAACCACAATAACAGTAGTGTGTGGTTCAGCATCGATTTACTGAACACCACAAAAAAACAAACAAAGATAATCATGAACAATTCTTAGCTCCTCAAAAAAACTGATTGTAGCTTTGGAACGGCCAATAGCAACCCACACTTTTAAAGACATTTTGCATGATAAAGTTAATGAGTTTATGCTCAACCGCTGCTATTTATAATAGCTCGTAAAGATAAGTTTAAGACCTCCAACAAATTTTAGGTCATTCTAAACATTGTTACTATACCTAATAATTAGGTGTTACAAGTATTGTAACAGTTCTATCGACATTAAGATTGCTCTATAGCAAATAGGCAACCAGCAATACATTTTTATATATTTTATTACAGTTTGTCTAAATATGAATCAATGCACAAATGACAAACTTTCTCCAATTTTAACGCAGATTTTCTATAAAAGGGACTTAGTTTGAAACTCAAATTACTTTTTGGTGTAAAGAACTTTGTAATTTGCCTCTTTTGAACAAGCGGCGTCGGCCTCCAACAAATTCTTGGTCATTCTAAACGTTGTTACTATACCTAATAATTAGATGGTACAAGTATTGTAACAGTTCTATTGACATTAAGAGGGTTCTATAGCAACTAGGCAACCAGCAATACATTTTTTATAGATTTTATCACACAGTTCATCTAAATATGAATTAATGCACAAATGACAGACTTTCTCACATTTTAAAGCAAATTTTCTATAAAATGGACTTAAGTTTGAAACTCAAATTACCTTTTGGTGTAAAGAAATTTGTAATTTGCAGCTTTTAAACAAGCGGTATCATAAATTAAAAATTTCTTTACACCAAAAAGTAATTTGAGTTTCAATCTAAATCTATTTTATAGAAAATTTGTGTTAAAATGGGAGAAAGTATGTTATTTGTGCATTAATTCATATTTAGACAATCTGTGAAATAAAATCTATGTAAATGTATTGCTGGTTGGCTATTTGCTATAGAGCCCTCTTAAGTAATCAAATTAAAAAAATGGAATCAGCTATTATTTAATCAGATTATAGTCATATAAATCACATAGTTCGATAATGTAGTAACGGTAATACTTTAATGACACTAATATTTCCATAAAACTTTGATCTGTTGTCCACATAAATGGTTCTTAATTGATTTATTTCGATCTAGAGGGACGGTAGAACCATTTTTTTTTTTTTAATTAAGCAATACGCATTGTAAAAGATTTCAACTCGAAAGACAGCTCCCTGTATTCGACTAACATTGTGATTATTTGATCACTGTGTATAATGCACAAATAATAGTAACGCATATATTACACAAAAGAATAAATATTTCAAAACAACCAGACAAATATTTTATATTTTACTTCGATACATTCTGTCAAAAAAGTATCCGGAATATATCATTTAAACATTCTGTGTAAAGTATATTTAAATTTCTTTTTTGATGGAAAGTTGGTAGCACTGTACTTCACTCTAAAGCGAAGTGTAAGCACTGTTGATTTAGTTAATCCAGCTAAAATGTGTACCCCAATCTTTACTATGGATAATGTTATTGAAGAGAGTATGCCCAAAATTTTGTGCTACCAACGGAACTTCCTGTGCTGAATCATTGAAAACTTTGAGAAAAATGTACGGCAATTGAGTGTTATCGAAAACTCAAGCAGACGAATGGTGCAAAGCATTCAAACATAAAGTGAAAGAAATGGGTCTACGAGTTTGACGTGCAAACGAGTCAACAACCTTCGGAATGGCACTTTTCAAATGAAAAACAGTCAACAAAGAATATTATATGGGCGTTACGAAGCGTTTGAGAGAGAGAGTATCCTCCTAAAAAGACCAGATTTACGGAAGGACAATTCTTAGACTTTGCACCAAGACACATAAAGTGATAATTTAACGAATGCAGCCACCGTATTCCTCGGATTTGGCCCCCACTGACTTTTTCCGCTCCCAAACCCAAATTAAAGACATTTCGAGTCGATAGAAGTCATAAAACAAAAATCGCTGAAGGAGTTAAAGTCCATACCGGAATATGCTTTAAAAAGTGCTTTGACGATTGGGTTGTTTGTTGGAAAAAGTATACTGCTTCAAATGGAGCCTATTTTGACGGCGACAAAATAAATGTAGATGATTAATTGAACATATTGCGTTTTATTAACAAATACTTTTTTGACACAATGTATACGCCTAAATTTCTTTGCGTAGAGTGACAATTAAATATTATTTTTAATGTCTAACTTAATCCTTATTCGTTTAAACAAGATATAATGTACGGATACTATGTACAGTGTCCAAACAATCACATCGTCCATGAGATACGTGGCCCAATAAGAAACATCAAATTTTTTTGGACACACGATTTGAATAAATTAATTTTTTACATCTTGAACTAATTTTGAATATGCAGTTGGTAATCCATGGCCTGCTGTTGTCTCGTTTTTTAAAGTTTCACTTTAAAAAACTAGGAGGCTTTGGAAACATTCGAGGACCTTGAGAAATTAGCCAATTGCCGACACTACTGATTGAAACTAAATAGTAGAATCTGGTTTATAAGCAATTTCCACAAATTGAAACATTCCCAGTGCCTAAAATTGAAGTAATTGTGAATAAGCAGACTATTATTTATCAATTATAATCAACGATGTCGGTTATTGGTTTTTTTCTCATCTTCATTCACTTCCAACGCCTCCTAGATTTTTAAACAAACACCATTTGTAAACTTAAGCCTGATTTAAGAACATAATTGGTGAAATTTTAATTCTGGGGTGAAACTTTTCAATTAAAAAATGCTTTAAAGTAATTCTCCAAAAGATTGCTTTTTTCTAAAATAGCAACATCTAAACCCACCTAGACAAGTATCCTGGTCACAGTGGTCGCAGTCTGACGGTCCTAGAATGCTCAAAATAGAGTCCCATTTCGAGTTCAGGTGTGTAGCCCTCCAACCAACTTCGTCTTGAACCTCCGGATACAATTGCACAAGTTGACTAGCTTGATCATTAAATAATTTAAGTGAGGAACTCTTCTCAAGTACCATATTCACACAATGCTGAAAAAAAAACACTTTAAGTACGATTTGTCCAAATAAAATTCACTGCTTTTGACAGACAGAACACATCTAATTTGTGACAATTATAGTGAAATTGATATTTAGCAGTTAAATTCTTCGAGTTCTTATGGTAGGATCGTATTCGATGCAAAGTAGAGCAAAAAATTGTCGGTCTTTTATCAAAGGAAAATCGTGTCATCATTTTTAGGACGCGTAAGATGAACTATTTCAAATTTAAAATAAAATTTAATGTAAAATCTGAGATACCGCATGATACGCACTGTGTTCTGGTAGTAGCTGTAGTGAGTGTATGAAGTGGTCGGTTATACGTCAAATACTAACCTGGCGAGCACAGAGGTAAAATGTAGTACATATGTGGAATTTAAAAAATAAATTGGATTATAATAAATTACATTTAAAATAAATAGTTTATGAGAATAAAGGAATTTTTGTAGGAAAAGGGGTGCCAGACGTGAACTGATCCCTTCATCCCTTCAAAACACATAAAGAAATTATTCAATTTCTACACCCCTTAAAACCGTACTGCACTGGATCCCTTGACAGGCAATGATCTTTGCATTGAACATGATCCTACTACAAGTGGTCCAGAGTAAATTTTCTACTACCAAAGAATGTTATAAATTAAATTATAAACAATTTACTTAAATTTAAGTAAATCTTATTAATTTTGTTTAAAAAAATCAAAAATATTCTTTTGCCTCAAAAAAATATTAAACGGCGCTAAAATCGACGTAGTGAAAGAGGTTTATTTCATCTGACAATAAACTGCATTCAGGGGCGGATCCAGAGGACTTGGGGGAGGTGGGGCGTTTGTATAGATGAAAGAAAAAAGTTCTTTATTAATTTATTCTGTTTGATCTTTGATTTTTTCCCCCGGACCATTTGGGAGAAGGCGATCGCCCTCAATTCCCCCACCCCCCCCAAGATCCCCGCCTGTTCACTTCTCCTATTTAGCAAACATTTACTCGAAAAACAAAGTTTTAATCCCTTTTTAAGTTCGAAAATGCTGCTAGCTATTAGGACTATGACACTAGATTTAGCAGAATAAAAAAATATGTTTTAATACTTCAGGACATTGCACACAAGTTAAAAATAATTTGAATTAGATTTTAGACAATATTTTGTTAATAAATTTTTAATAATGTAATAAAGCAAAAATTCTTACTCAAACATATATTTGCAACACCTATTTATAAGTATTTGCAAATATATTTATTTCAGTACGTTTTTATACAAATTTTTATATAAAAATTGCGTGTTATAAAATTACTCCGAAATATTTGCATATTTATTTATAAATATTGGCAAATATACTTAATTCCTATTAGTATTTTAATATTAAAATTATGTAATGTAAAACGGCTCGTAGCAATAAATTATCATTTAAATAATCCCTTTTCCACGTTTGACTATATTTTGGCATATTTTCTTAGTCTTATCTAAATAATTTAAAAGAAAATAAGTATTAGTTAAGGGTTAATGTCCCACTTATTTCCTATTGTATTTTTGTATCAACTTTTTCCCATTTCTAAAAATAATTAAGATAATCTCTTAAATGCAATAAATAAATAAATATCACTTTTTGTCTGTTTTCACGCTAGTGAGTCACAAAACAGATAGTACAAAAATGCTGTTATGATGGAAAAAGCAAAGTGAAAATATATAAAGGCTATGGGAGAAAAAAAAAACGTGTTATGAAGGTAATAAACATGTTTCACCAAAAAACTGAGTAAAGTAGAAAAAAGAGAACGGCGAATCGCAGCATAAAAAAAGGGGACTATAAAAGGTAAAAGGACGTAGTAAGGAAGTTGATGTAAAGAGAAAGGTGGATCTAATTTGCTTAAATATGTTCTTTTATTTTTATTTCCATATTCAAAACCTGCGTAAAACTGATTTTTTACCGCTAAATTCAATTTCTGTCCGTGGTGCACCGTACAAATCATTAAAATAATTTGAATGAAATGAAAATTGACTGATTTATTGCAATTTCTAGATTCCATTTCTGTATCTGGTGCACCGCGTAGAATGATTAAAATAATTTGAATGCTTACTGCTCGTAAAGCTTTATCTGTGATATTTTCCTCCTTCCCATAAATGGTCTCTTGAACGCTATTTAACCAAGAATAGAGTTCCGAGAACTGGGAATAGAATTCCTTGAGAGTCCAAGTTCCTGTATGACGAGTTAAATCGCCGTCCACTTCCTGTAATAAAAAAAGATTGTTCCATCAGCGTCAATGGTTTCTCATACGTACAGGAATGCAGAAACTTACTTGGCACTTATCGATAAGCTGATTATCCATAATGTAGTTGTAATTCGCCTGCAGGACCGACCAGAATTCCTCCCTGTGGTCGCTGGCGGTGCTTCCCCATGATCGCCTCACTGCCGTCGCCTTTACCCTATTTTTCGTAAGGCTGTTGTACAATCTTGGCTTTACGCCCTTCTCAGGTGTGTATTCCGTCGCTGGAAGCGACGACAGAGAGAAGCTGGCTTTTAGCGATGAGTTTTCGAAACCTGCGTGAAAAAGACAAATTTAGTTACCTTGGAGACTATTTTTTATGCAATTTTATTTAATAAATAGAAAGGTTAGATACAAATCAGTCGAAATCAAATAATAAACATTTTCGGCGCATGAGTCAGCACAGTACTGACTCTGAACCAGTGGTCGGTGGTTCTGTGATAACACTTTAATATGATTAATGCAAATGGATTCCATATACTTATGAATCTCATGAAAAACCCCGACCTGGTTTCTACGCATGCTCCAAAGAACTATTCCACAAATTCTTGCTTAAGACCGGCAACATTCTGTAAACATATCCTTTAAATTACAGACCATCTCATATACTCATAGACCAGGGCGGATCTGTTTTGAGGTGGATGTGAGAGGGGGCAAGCAAATTTTTTCTGGATTTCCTTCAGTACAACTCACACAATAAAAGTGTAGATCCTTAGATCTGGGCAAGGTTCGGAACATTTTCAAAATTGCAAAAATATTTAAAAAATTTTAAAAAATATATACCTATTTTTTTACTTATATCTTGGAACTTATGCATTTTGGAAGAATATTGAAGAGGAAAAAAGTTTTAGAATTGAATTTTGCACAATATACTGTACGCTAAAAATGTTTAAATTTATTACCGATGTTGCAAAAAAGCAATAATTGATAAAAAAAGACAAAATAATCAAGTTTTTTGGATAATTTTTTTAAAATATTTTTAAATATTGCTCCGAGGATATTCTAATTTTGGTAAAAAAAACTTTAAAGTACCTACACACCAAATTTCATTAAAATCGATGCAATAGTTTTTGCAAAATAATTTTTTGAAAAACATTTTCAAAATATTGCACAGCCTCAAATCTAGATACTTGGAAGTTTTTTCACATAGAAAAGACCGCTCAACCTTTCAAATGATTTTGAAAAATTGAAATCGGTTGATTAGGACGGCTACAGTAAATTTTTAAAGTTAACACTCTTTTTTATTTTTAAACAATTAGATTACATTTATCAATTTGCAATTTAGTTTTTTTCAAAAATTATAATTTTAAAGTACTATTTTTTCTTAATTTTATCTGAATTTAACAAAAAATTTATTTCCAAATAAAAAAATATTTTTTTAATTTGTTTAAACAAAAATTATTTAAATATAATTCATATTCAGGGTGTTGAAATACATACGTAAACAAATTTTTTCATTGAAATAATAGCATAGAGTAAAATATATATGTAGTATATTTAATGCATAAATAACGAACTTTGTTTATAACAAAATATGTGCAAATTAGACAGTTGGCATTCGATATTCGAATTCCTTGGCTTTTCAAGTATCTAGATGCTTTATTTGAGGCTGTGCTACATTTTGAAAATTCGAAAATTTTTCATCAAAATTTTATTCAAAAAATTATTTAGCGAAAACTATAGAACCGATTTTAATGAAATTTGGTGTGTTGTTTTATTTTACTCTATAGTTTTTTTCACCAAAATTAGAATGCCCTCGGAGCAATTAAAATATTTTTAAAAAACTATCCAAAATATTTGATTATTTTGCCTTTTTTTCATCAATTATTGCTATTTTGCAACATCGGTAATATATTTAAACATTTTTTAACTTACAGTGTATTGTACAAAATTCAATTCTAAAACTTTTTTCCTCTTCAATATTCTTCCAAAATGCATATGTTTCAAGATATAAGTAAAACAACTCAGATAAAATGGGTATATTTTTAAATTTTTTAAACATTTTTGTAATTTTGAAAATTGGTCTATGATGGTGTTCTACAAATAACCAGATTAAGACCGTCTTTAATTTTTATCACTGGCTTTAGCAGCAGCGTAAATGTGGTTTAAGCTGTTTATTTTCACGAAATGCATTTATTCGGATCAAATCATTATATTTTATTATTATTTATGTTTAAAATGTCCAGTGAGACTCTCTAATCCCTCTAATCGCCTTAGACTTTAGCTTAAAGGATATCTTCGTTTTTAGCGTTATCGCCATAACTCCTTACGGAATTCTAAATTCTCTCAACAGGAATTCATATGAAGTTGACAGCGCAGCGGGACAGTTATGTCCAATTTCTTAAGTTCTAGAATAACTAATTTCGCCGTTCGTGAACTAGTTCGTCCTTGGAACACTCGTCACAAGTACCAAAATCAGTTCAGCAAATAAATATAAAAGACAAAAAACTATTACAGCTGCCATACCGGGTAATTTTATTCGTTTATTTGGAGTAATAATTTTGTTTGCTAAAACGAATTAAATTTTTCTTGCGACCGGACATTATCAACAAGAAATGGAAACATGCCCGAAATTGTATTAATATGCTTCGTGCGAAAAGTTGCCCTCGTCCGAACTGATTAAGGATCATCTCCAAACTTGGATACCGACAAGAATGTATCCATAAATACAAGAGAAATGGCATTCTAAAAGTAATCGGCATGTTTTAAATTTACAGCGAAGTATTCCAAACTGGCCGAGCTATAAACGTGTCGAGTAAAAATCGGGACCCTTTTCCATTGTCTGCTTCGTTTAATACAACAACATTATACGGCTGAAAAAACAGGTAACGGAAATTGATTTTTTTCTAGTTAGGCGTAATGATAAGATCAGAAGCTTGATGGTATATTACGAAGTTTGTTATAAAAGAGGGTCTCGTTTTTCGTACCGTTGTAGTAAATCATGAATGTTAATTCACTGGTTAATTAACGAAATTCTCACATATACATGAATGATATAATTCCTTTGTTCGATTACCGTTACGTATAAATATTTTCTAGTGTAAGTAATTGGTTCGAAAATTCCCCACATTTCTACGGGGAATGTATTTGTACCGCATTTTTCTATTTTCCTTTTGAGGTTATTAATAAGTAGAAATACAGGATGCAGATGCAGCTGAAATAGAGGCATAGTTGTAATGCCTGCTTGGAGTCCTCAGACAGTACAGTCTATCGAAGAATCCACTTCCATTTGTTTATTAATAGATTTTTTAAATTTAGTCCTAAACCTTTTAGGAAAAGGCTAGGCTCTAGACGTATTTTTAAATTACGGTTATATTACAAAAATAATTTAGGTCTAATTTAGGATTTTCTAAAGATACGGTGACTCGGTTACGCCCTGTCGAAGGGGTATCAAATTTCTGAATGAGCGTTTTATTTACGTTATAAGACTTGATTTATAATTTTCGATGCGACACGAAGCCACTTTTAATACGCTATATATAACTGTTCCTGAAAACACAATTATTTTTCAAGAAACTATATCTCCGCCGGACTATTAATGCGCTAAATGGTAACTAATGGGTCACTGAACCGCATCCAATTTCACCCACTCTAACCGCTATTTCAGGAATCAACTTCTTGCAGATAGTTCAGATGTACCATAAAATTAATTAAGACCTGTTTACCCTTCAAGTCGATATTCGATTTCGTTAGAAAACATTTCAAAAAACCGTGAATTTAAAGATTTTATCATAACTCGTTAAACGCTGTTAGACGATAATACAAAGCTTGTACTATATTTAAAGGAGCAACTCTAAAATAAAATATAATATATAAAATAAATAGTACTAATAAAAAAAACATTCCTGACATATTGAAATCATTAAATATTGCTTAAAACCTTCAAGGAAATTATCTCCTTGTTTCTAATAGCCATACACAACGCTGGACAAAGAGCAACACGCAATGAACTTCGATATTTTAGCTAAACTATTTCTGCATTATAATGACGGCTGTTTCAAGTGACTTTTTTAAGATGGAACTTCATTTGAATACTAATAAATATTAAATTATAGTGTGAAAGAAATATATGGAATAAATTTATTATTCATACGACTTTCTTTTAAATTGAATTCCCATACCTTTCGGTCGTCGAGTGTAGCATCCAACTTCCGAAATTAAAAAAAATTATTTGTGAATAGCTTCATTTGTCTTTCAAAAATAAAAAATTAATTTCGAAGAAAACAGAATATTAAACCATAGCATAAGACAACACCGTAATCTTAATAAAAAAAATTAGCTGACTGAAAAAAGTGTCTTAACGATATCTTAGTTTAAAAAATCATAATCTTTCCTTTTTCAATTAAAAGAACGAAAACAAACAGAATTTTCGACAAAGATGGGTAAATTTACCACTTCATTTATCATTTGATGTTGTATTCTTAAGATAACCAAGATCCCAACGGTGTTGCTAGAAAAATGAGCACCCGGTACAATTACTCGAAAAAAAATTAAGTATTGGAATAAACTTAACATGTACCTTTAAAGAAAAGCACCTTAGGTAATAATAAAATAAGTATACAATCCGATATATACAGGGTGGTCCCGAGAAAATGGGCCAAAATTCATGGGTAGATTCCTGAAGCAAAAATATTGCGATTTATCCGAACTTACCTTAATCCAAAAGTTAATACTTAAAGAGATACAGATTTCCATTTATTTCTTAATAAATGCAAATATCTACACAAAATTTTGGGGATGGGGTTCTTTGGGTAGAGGAATTGAAATTTGTTCACATTTTGGTTATACTTCATAGAGGGCGCCAGCTGCCGTAGTGTTGAAAACGACTTAACGTTTAATTCTTATTTTCCAACTTTTTTACACAAAACAAGGTAAACTTTATGAAGGTAGCTGTCTCGCACCGTTTCCGAGATATTTGGCTTTGCAACTTCCAATGCTAATAGTTGAAATAATTAAAATAATTTAGAAATGTCAAAAACAAGGGTTTATTTAGAATTAAAAATTGCAATGAACAGTAAAATAGTAAACATTAGTAAAAAATATGCCTTTTTGACAATAATTGCTCAAAATGTCCACCTCTAACTTCAATACGTTTATCAACGCGTTTATTAAAAGATTGTCTTATTTTAAAGTATAAATCCTTAACGCGAAATAACTGTGCAGCTTTGAAACCTGCTGATAGAGTTCTTTTGAGGTGTTTATAGTTTCTCCATAAACAACTGATTTCATGTAACTCCAAAAACGAAAATCTCGGCATTCTATCTCACATTTATGT